CCCAAAACAGGGCCCTGAAATGGGACCCCTCAAAATGGGACCCAAAACAGGGCCCTGAAATGGGACCCCTCAAAATGGGACCCTGAAAGGGCACCCTGAAACGAGACACCCCCCAAAATGTAGCCCCAAATTGAGACCCCCAAACTGAGACCCCTGAAACAGGGCCCTGAAATGAGACTCCCTGACGTGGGCCCCCAAATCGGGACCCCCCCAAACCGGGGGAGGTCTCAGGGTGTTGGGGTCCCTCGGGGGGGGGGTCACGGGGGGTCCCCCCCCCCCTTTTCCCCCCCCCAGCATCAAACGCAGCAACTGGGCCCCTGCCTGGGGGGGGGGGGGAGTTCACGGCCCCCCAGCAGCAGGCGAGGGTCTCCCACACCGACCTGGTCATCGGCTGCCTGGTGGACTTGGCCACGGGGCTCATGACCTTCACGGCCAACGGCAAGGAGATCAACACCTTCTTCCAGGTGAGACGGACCCCCCCTGATCCCTGGGGGGGGCCTGGGGGCTCCCCGTCCCTCCCCGGGGGTTCCCGCCCCTCCCTGGGGGTCTCAGCCCCTCCTGGGGGTCCCTGCCCCTCCCTGGGGGAGTCCCTGTCCTTCCCCGGGGGTCCCTGCCCCTCCCCGGGGGTCTCAGCCCCTCCCCGGGGATCTCAGCCCCTCCCTGGGGGTCCCCACCCCTCCCCAGGGGTCCCCACCCCTCCCCGGGGGTCTGAGCCCCCGCTGTGCCCGCCCAGGTGGAGCCCAACACGAAGCTGTTCCCGGCCGTGTTCGTGCTGCCCACCACCCAAAACGTGCTCCAGTTCGAGCTGGGCAAGCTCAAGGTCAGGGGGGACCCCCCACCCCTCGTCTGGGGGGGGCACAGGGGGCGGGAGGGGGGCTGGGGGGGGACTGGGGCACTGGGGAGCTGGTGGAGGGTCTGTATGGGGGGCTTGGGGGTCCACAGAGGGGTCTTGGGGTCTGCAGGAGGGACCAAGGAGGACCTGGAGCCCTGGGGGTGTCGGGGGTCTCTGGGGCGTTGTTTGGGGTCTCTGGGGGTCCTGGTGGCCATTGGGGTGACCCACAAGCCACGTGGCCCCGTGGGGGTGCTGGGGGTCTCTGGGGGGTTGTTTGGGGTCTGTGGGGGTCAGTGGGGTGACCCACAAGAGACACAGCCACATAGGGGTGTCGGGGGTCTCTGGGGGGTACCGGGGGTCTCTGGGGGGTTGTTTGGGGTCTGTGGGGGACCTGGTGGTCAGTGATGTGACCCACAAGCCACGTGGCCCTGTGGGGGTACCGGGGGTCTCCAGGGGGGTGCCAGGGGTCTCTGGGGGTCCCCAGGCCCCCCCTTACCCCCCCTGCCGTGCCCCCCCAGAACATCATGCCCATCTCGGCCGCCATGTTCAGCAGCGAGAGGCAGAACCCGTCCCCCCAGTGCCCCCCCCGGCTGGTGATCCAGCACCTGACCCCCGTCACCTGGAGCCGGATGCCCACCGAGTACCTGGGCGTGGAGAGCGCCCGGCTGGGCGAGCGCCAGGGCTGGGCCGTCGAGTGCTCCCAGCCCCTGCAGATGATGGCCCTGCACATCCCCGAGGAGGACAGGTCTGCCACCCACGGGGACACCCAGGGACCCACGGGGACCCACAGGGGCACCCAGGGATCCACAGGGATCCACAGGGACACCCAGGGATCCACAGGGACCCACAGGGATCCACAGGGACACCCAGGGATCCACAGGGACACCCAGGGACACCCAGGGATCCACAGGGACACCCAGGGACCCCTGGGGACCCACAGGGACACCCGGGGATCCACAGGGACACCCAGGGACCCACAGGGACACCCAGGGACCCCCGGGGACACCCAGGTCCCATCCCAGTAGTCCAATCACATCCCAGTAGTCCCCTCCCACCCCAGTGGTCCCACCCCAGGGGTCTCACCCCCTTTTCCCTCTCCCGTGTCCCCCCAGGTGCATCGACATCCTGGAGCTGTGGGAGCGGGAGGAGCTGCTGCAGTTCCAGTGCCACACTCTGCGCCTGTACTGCGCCGTGTGCGCGCTGGGCAACAACCGCGTGGCTCACGCGCTCTGCAGCCACGTGGACCAGGCCCAGCTGCTCTTCGCCATCGAGAGCCCGGAGCTGCCGGGGCCGCTGCGGGCCGGCTACTACGACCTGCTGCTGGCCATGCACCTGGAGGCCGCGCAGCGCGCCCGCGCCTCCATGAGCGCCGAGTTCATCGTGCCCATCACCGACGCCACGCGCGCCATCGCCCTGTTCCCGGGGGGGGGGGACCGGGTGCCGGGACCCCCGGGCGTGGGGCCCAGCGCCTGCCTGCGGCCCCAGCCCCACTTCTCGGAGCCCTGCTTCGTGCGGGCGGGCGGCGCCGGGCGGGCCCCGCTGAGCCCGGCCGTGCCCCTGGGCGAGCTGGGCGCCAAGGCCATGCGCATGCTGGCCGAGGCCGTGGCCGGGGGCGGCCCCCACGCCCGGGACCCCGTCGGGGGGAGCGTCGAGTTCCAGCTCGTGCCCGTCCTCAAGCTGGTGTCGGCCCTGCTGGCCGTGGGAGCCCTGGGGGACGACGACGTCAGGAGGGTCCTGGCCATGATCGACCCCCGCGTGTTCGGGGAGAGGGCGCGGGGAGGGGGCGAGGAGGAGGAGGAGGGGGAGGAGGAGGAGGGCAGGAGGAAGGCCATCGAGGCTGGGGAGGCGGAGGAGGAGGAGGAGGGAGAGAGGAGGAGGAGGAAGGCTATTGAGGCTGGAGAGCTGGAGGAAGGGGAGGAGGAGGAGGAAGAGGAGAGGAGGAGGAAGGCCATCGAGGCTGGAGAGCTGGAGGAGGAGGAGGAGGACGAGGAGAGGAGGAGGAAGGCCATCGAGGCCGGGGAGCTGCAGGAGAAGGAGGAAGAGGAGAAGGAGGAGGAGGAGGAAGGGCCAGAGGAGGGGCTGCTGCAGATGAAGCTGCCGGAGTCGGTCAAGCTGCAGGTGAGGAGGGGGCTGGGGGGGCACGGGAGTGGGGGTCCCTGTCCCCTCCCTGGGGTCCCTGTCCCCTCCCTTGGGTCCCTGTCCCCTCCCTGGGGTCCCTGTCCCCTGCCTGCAGTTCCTGTGCCCTGCTTGGGGTCCCTGTCCCCTCCCTGGGGTCCCTGTCCCCTCCCTTGCAGTGCCTTCTCCCTGTCCCACCCCTGTGTCCCCTCCCAGGGTCCCTGGTTCCCTGTTTCCACCTCCATCCCCCAGGGCCATCCCCCCCATCCCCATTGTGTCCCCAAATGTCCCCAGATGTGCCACCTGCTGCAGCACCTGTGCAAGCGGGAGCTGCAGCCCCGTGTCCCCAATGTCCCCAATGTCCCCGATGTCCTCTGATGTCCCCAATGTCCCCAAATGTCCCCAGATGTGCCACCTGCTGCAGCACCTGTGTGA